ATTGGCTTCCACTTCAACTTTATGCTCAACAATAGGCGGCACACTACTAACCGGGTTCACATCATCTACTAAAGTTTGGTTCAAGTCAACATGAAAGAGAGGAGCCTGGACCACCTTAGTTGCAAAGACTTCGAGTGACTTGAATGCCGAGGATGCAACAACCTCCTTATATGCAACCCAATGCGAATTGGAATTGATAGGCATTGTCTTCATTTGACACTTGTGTGCCGACCCAACATCATATCTCCCTACTAATTCAACTTGGTCACCTGCATCCACCCACTTTAATCTTATCCGTGTTTCTTCCACAACCTCTTGATAACTAGGAGTCTCAAGAAATATCAACACTTCCTCATACTTGTCAACAAATATCCACATTCATGAATGCCTCTTTGTCAACATAATGAATATTCACAATCTTGTCCATCTAAAAAGGGGGAACATAAGTATAAGAAATGTACAATGCTAAATATACCACATTGCTTGACAAAACCACTAATCCTAACCCTAATCTTAACATTAGGCATAACCCTAACCCTAAATCTTAACATTAGGCATAACCCAAGGTTTGTTCACCAACATCACAATGCAACATATTGGAACAACAATACTCAAGAACATCATATTATGGAACCATCTTCAAAACTAGGGTTAGGAACCACATGAACAAAACAATCCAAATAGACAAATCCAACCAATAAAAATTTGTGAGATGAAGGAGGTTACCTCAAGAAACGGAAATGACACTGGATTCATGGACCAATCTAATCGATTTGCAAGGATTTGATAGGGGCTAAGTGAGGGACACAAAGGGGGAAAATGGCAAGAGCTCGGGATAAGCCAAAGGGGGAGAAGAGAGTGAGTGGTGAGTGGTGGGTGAAAGGCCCACGGCCACCTGAAATATCTGCACTAGAAACGCCATAGACGCTGGCGTTTGAAGAAACACTAGATGCCTCGGCGTTTTCGGGCGTTCTCGGCCTGGCAGTGGGCCAGGGAAGAAACACTAGTTGGTTCGGCGTTTAAGTGTTGACCAAAAACGCCACGGGCCCTGGCGTTTCTAAAAGGGTCAAATCATGAAATACTTTCATGTCCGGTTCAGTTTGCGACGATAAACGCTGACAAGGTCAAACAGTGGTTTCGGCCAATAAATATTTTAGATACAGTTTATTCATCAGGTCTGCAGGGTACATCTAACACACACACACACACACACACACACACACACACACACATATAGCAGTTGACAAGATAATTAATGTTGGAACCAGAATTATGCGAAAGGTGAAGAGAATAAGGCTTTTTTTAGGGTGAAGAGAATAAGGCTTTTGGAGAGGACAGTGCTATAAGTACCTCGGCATCCTTCCCACACACCATAGAAATAGGTGAATTGAGAAGGAAAACCCGATAGATCACACTACCTGCTTTCTCCAGGGACCAGGACTGTCTTCTTCTTCCCACACGGCTACCATGTGGGCCAAGGTCATCGCCATCTTTCTTCTTTTGCTCCAACTCGCGCTGTTGTCCTCCTCCAATTCCATGGTGTTCGAGCTCCGCGGCAACGTCTATCCTATTGGGTATAGATTCTAACTTTTTCTTATGATGGAAGCTACTCTTGTATACTTTTTTCTGTGTAATGGAAGAAACTGTTGGTCTCTAATGTATTAATGTGCAAAAAATGCTGCGATTTTATCCTTGTTGGTAATTTACATGATTTTTCGTTCAGGTGGGGAGCTGCACTGAATTTCATTGCATGTTTCAAATTAATATTTTAACTGAATTCGTATGCAAGTTATCTTGTCCTCTAACTCGATCCTGCTGTTCTCTGTTCCGCTGATTATTTGTTCATTACACTAGAGTTCGGTAGTACATGCAAACGCAACGCGATCTGTGTGCATCAACTTGTATTAGTGCTGCATTTGACACACGCCTTTTCTGCATGTGTAACTACAGCCAGTTCTTCGTTACCATGAGAATCGGGGAGCCGGCAAAGCCCTACTTCCTCCATGTTGACACCGGTAGCGGCCTCACGTGGCTGGAGTGCGACGCCCCTCGCCAGAGCTTCCACAAGGTACGGTGCACCCACGGCTACTTCATTTTTGCTTTAGAGTGTTAGCTATGAGGGCTTATCATCTGTTATGCATGCATGTGGCTCTTGCATATCTTTCGTGTGTCCCAACTCCCAAGTGGTAGTTTCATGCGGTTTTTACTCTTGTATCAAACGCGTGGCGGTGAAATGACTCATGAAATCGACTCGATGGTGGGTAATTCTTGTTACAGGTGCCACATGAGGTGTACAGACCACGATCGAGCAACCGGGTGCCATGCGAGGACGAGCGTTGTGCCATGATGCACAAGGACCTGGACACCGTGCACGACTGCACGGTGCATCCAAACCAATGCGACTACGATATAGTAAGTTACAAGGACGGCTACTCATCCATGGGCGTGCTCTTAGCCGACAAGTTCTCCCTCCCCATGCGCAACGACCGCCCCAACCTTGCCTTCGGGTACATACAAACTCGCCCAATCACATTGCATTGCATTGCATGGAACCGATGCAGTTCGTTGTTCATTTGTGCGCGCATGCATGCAGCTGCGGATATGACCAGCAAGGTGAAAAAGAAGAGCTGGAGGTGGACGGCATCCTCGGGATCGGTAGGGGAACGGGAGACCTCGTCTCACAGCTCAAGCAACAAGGGTTGATCACCGAGAATGTGGTTGGCCATTGCCTCAGCAGCCATGGAGGGGGCTACCTCTTCTTTGGGGGCGACGTGCCCTCTACTGGTGTAACCTGGCTTCCCATGGTTCAAGAGTACACGTAAGATAGCATCATACATATCAATATATGTACAACGTGCAGATGTCTCTTTTCTTCTCATTTGGTTGCACACATCACATGACATGATGACAATGCTGTTCTTGTTTTTTTCTGTTTCTTTCAGGATTTACTACTCACCTGGCAAAGTAACATGGAACCTCGACGTACTACTGAAATACGAGTTAAGCAAAACGCCGAGGGTTGCTGTCTTTGACAGTGGTAGCGCCTACTCGTATGTGCATATGGACACATACGAGCAGCTTATTCAGGCGGTAGGTTTCACATCACAGCGCATGTCGACTCCCATGCATACATCAGTTTGAATCCAATCACTACCTAACTAGACATGTCACCGATTTTGGGTCTTGCAGGTGGATGTCACTCTCCAGGACTCAACACTTCAGAAGGTGTCTAACGATCCTGAACTGACTCAATGCTGGAGATACAACGAACCAATCAAATCTGTCGACGATGTCAAGCATGAATTCGAACCACTTCAATTGACCTTTACCTATGGCGCTAGCCAGGTCACTCTGGACATCCCTCCTGAAAATTATGTTGTTGTCACGGTAAACCTTGGCTTGGCTCGGTGACTCTAGTGACTACAAGAAATGAATAGCAGAAGATCTTTAGGTAATATGTTTATTACTCTTTTTTATCGATCGCAGGAAAGAGGAAATGTGTGCTTGGGCATCCGTAATGGTTCAGAACACGGGATGGGGGAATTGAACATAATTGGAGGTTTGAAGTTCTATCAAGCATTTCTGCTTTCCAAAACTAGGATAGCGTTCATCAGTTTGTAATGGTTTTCCCATTGATATTCTGTTTTGCAGACATTACAATGCAGAATCATCTCGTGGCATATGACAATGAGAGAGCGCGAATCGGATGGGTTCGTGCATCATGCGATATAATGCCGGGGTCTGCACCTATCATCGCTTCGCGTCTCTAAAGGGTGTGTTTGGTTTGCAGAATAAGTTTAAGTTGTAGTAGGTATCCTCAACCATATGGCTAAGGATACTGACATTTTCTGTTTGGTTGGGAGAGATGTCAAGTGGTTAGAGATGGCCTTTATTTACTTTTTGGTTTGAAGGATGAGTGGCAAAAAAGGAGTCATGGTGAACCTTTTTTATTGTGATGGTGAGCTTACCCCATAACTTGCAAATTTTGCAACATAAAGCAATTGTGGCATGATCTTGTGATGGTACCAATCGTCTACAAACAAAGATTTAACATATAGACCCTTCCAACAAAAATGAACATATAGACTACACACGCATCCCATGTATTCAAATTCAGATTACAAACAATTCCCTACATCTGGCTCGAGGCCTGGCCGCACTCTGACTTAGGCCTCATGCGCACACATATGATGCAAGGGAGCAGCTAGCAGCGGCAGCTGAAAAAGCTATATTTCTTCCGAAAAATCAGTCTTCGCTCAAGAAATGAGTCCTGCTATATTCCCTCAAAACTGAAACCTGCCCAAACAATACAAATATTATACTGTAAGTTCAGCCTTCAAAAGGAATAGCATTGTGAAAAATATGAAATTTCATTTGGCTGGTACGCAAACTAGACAAATGAATATAGCGTGTTAAGTCGAGTGAAATAGAACTTCAACCGGACTGACAAACAATCAACTTGATCTCGTATTGCACAGTTGGAAATGTATTAAACTGGTATTTAATTATCGAAATAAAAGGCCCCCAGTAAAGCAAATCCTGCCTCTTATGCTGAACTGATTTTTTCTCTAATATGCAGCTTCTAGAGATCCTCCAGTATGCTCTACACAACATAACATGCAGTAGTATCGACCACCATACCAGTAACTAGTACTAATAGAGTAATAGGTACAAAGTAATGCTATGACTCAAACAGAGAAATAAATATGATGACACATCTACCAAATTTGCCTGTCGCATCCCACAAGAATAAATAAATAATGCACGTCATAATTCAAATCAAACAACTGCACATCATCTTACGATCATATTTTTGTTGCATGCAGACAATCCTGGCGCACAAATAAGTTTATCACAAAGTGCTAGGGTTCTACCATGGAACGGAATTGGGATGTCTGTAACTAACACTTATCAAATTGTCAAGACAGGTTTTCATTGTTTGCTTTTGTATAACTTACACAGCATGAAGAGTGAAGTTATTTACAGTAAAATCACACTTACTACAGCTTTTGGACATTAATTTTCTCCAGGGATTTGCTGCTGAAGCTCAAGATCTTCAAAATATTATGAATCTGCTCATCAATCATTTGACATTTAACTTCCACTGTCTTAAGGTACTTCAGCGCAAGGGATTGTTCCAAAAAGTCACTGCCTTCTAATTCCATATTGGATTTGGGTTTCTGTAAGAAATAAAATACTTTAAAAGATCAATCATGGATGATAGTTCCATACAGGCAATACACATCGTAATTACGTAGAAGATGTATATACCTGACAGACTTGAAGAGTGAGTTTCTCTAGAAGTGGTGTGTAATGGAGAAAGTACAGTAGTGTTTGGAAGTCAGCAACTAAACACCAGTCACTGAGTAACAAAGATTTTAGCTTACTGAATGCAGGACAGTATCGAAGATCCCTTCTGAACGTAACCTGTGGAAAGCACAAAGAAGTAAGAACAATAATATGTAATGTTCATACAAGATGAAAGGATAACGCAGTGGATATGAAATTTGAACATGTAAGCTCAAAATGAACTGCAAGCATACCATTTGAGAGGAAGCTATCAATTCCAAACATGTAGCACTAGACAGACCCATAAGATGAACAGAGACGTCGGGTGTACAATCATTGTCTGGATACATATAACACATCCCACATTCACAATCTCCAAAGCCACCTTTATCACAGAAATCACAATATTGCTCATTTTGATGGCCAAGATTCACAGTTGCAGTTTCTAGCAATGGCATGCTTTCAAGGACTGGAGTCACACCGACATAATCATCTAGCTGCAGTGAAATAAGACTTGGAGCAGATATAAGAGTTGGGTGGAATTGCCAACAAAGCTCACAACCAATGATGGTAAGTTGTTTCAAGGATTGGGACAGGATCTGATCAGTAGAGACGACACCATTAGTGATCTTCAGATCTTTCAACACCGAGCAGCTCGAAAAATCAAGCAAGCCACCTTCCAAGCAGAGGCCATTGAGCTCTAATCGCCACAGGTGCCGGGAGAAGAGAGGTCGGTTGGCCAGTTTGACGAACGATTGAAATGGCTCTGCAGTGGCTGGTAGATTAGTGTAGAGCTGGACTTGCAGCAACCGGGTATGGCACTTCAAAACACGGCGGATCCAGCGGTCAATTCGTGCGTCCTCCAGCCGCAAGAACCCGCGGAGATCAAACTCGCACTCGTCCAGTGCGGAGCCGCGGTCGCGGGGCAGAAGCAGCTGGTCCACAAACTCGTTCAGCTTCTCGACACTCCGAAACGCGTCGACGTCGGTGATGCGCAGGCGAGGGATGAGCCTCCAGACGTGGCGCCAGCGCCGGGCGAGCACGCACGTCCGCACGGCTTCCCGCCCCTCAAGGAAGCCAAGCGCGTGCTGCAGCACGGAATCCGGGAGGGCGCTGAGGTGGTCTCCGGTGCTCGAAGGCGATGCCCTTGTGGTCTTGCGCCGGTGAGACATTTGGCCGAACAGGTGGCGGGCGTAGGTTCTACGGAGCAACGACCAACGGGTGCGGCAACCGGAAAGAAGCGGACGGTTCGTTAAGAAAAAGCGGGCAGAGAAGGGAGAGCTTCTCACTCCAAAGACGACTTCACCTTACCGGCCCACCGCAGCTTCCCCGCACGCCGGCGGCAAAGAGTTTGTCGGAGGAAGAAGACGACAGCTTCTCCTCACCGTGTGCCTCTCTCTGCCTTCTTTGGGTTCTTCTCCCACTGGACAGTGGATGGGAAGATTCACAATTATAACCTGAGGAGATGGGGCGTATTTTTTATTTTTTATTAAATACACATTGGGACATGGCTGCACATATACCCGAATTGCAAAAAAAAAAAAACTCCCTCCGTTGCTAAATATAAAGATTTACAATACTAAATGTATAAAATACAAAAATATATTTCATGATGAATCTAGTAATAATGATTTGGTATCCTAGATATTGATATTTTTGTCTGTAAACTTGGTCAAAGTCAGATAAGTTTGACTTTTTAAAAAAATAATACACTTTATATTTAGGAACAGGGGGAGTATGAGAGTTTCTCCGATTAAGCATTGTCTAGTGTATCACTCAAGTGTAAAGTTTTGCGATGAAATGATTTTTGTGGTATTCTGAATGAATAAAAACAAAATCGATAAGTACTATATTAAGCTTACTTTTCAGTTTGTCCCCAAACATTACACATGAATGAGTAATACACTGCACACTGCTTGTTTTGAAAAAGTTTCACATTTTTCTACTTTTTATTTTTCTTTCCTAATCACGTGCGCCCAGGTTCCAAAAAGGAAAAAGTCTGAAACAAATCTTGAAGTTGTAAACGAAAGCTAAATCAAACCCTGAATTTTAAATCCCGGAAATTGGCACTCTGAACTTGTAATCCCGGTCTCTTTTAAACTCTAGACCTGTTTGGCACACTAGGAATACTACAATCCCGACCGGGATAACCTGCTATTCTCACGGACGAGAATTTGGGCCGGCCCACTATACCACAACAAAAATTCGTGAAGTCTAAAAAATGCCGCGCATTTCTAAAATTGTTCAAAAGTTAAAAAATGCTCCTGTTTTCTATTTTGACAAAACTTCAATTTCCTTTTGTGTTTTTAAAAAAGTGTTTGGAATTTTGAAATTCTATTCACATTTTTAAAACTATCTGTGATTTTAAAAAAATCACATTTGTCAAAAACTGTTTAGATTTACAATAGTTTTTCACATGCCATGAAATGTTTTAGGATTTTCAAAAATTATGTCACATTTTTCAAAATTTTGAAACCTGAACAAATGCATAAAGAAATGTCACAGCCAAAAAACTGAACCGAGTATGGACACAGCCAAAAACGATGGACCAGTGTCTTATCGCGGCCACATGCAATACAGTACACTCCCGGTTTTATTTTCCTCCGCAATAATTCATCTCCTACCGCTAGTCCATTCTGGAGTAGTCTCCAAATATGAATCAGGTTTTAGAGTGTAGCTCCGCCACTGGCCGCAAGTAGCAAATCCAGCCACTCAAAAATGTACGTAGCATTTCAAAAAAAAAAGAGTATGTACAATGTAAATAATATTTGCGTGATTCAAACAAATGTTTCGTCCATTCAGAAAATGTAACATTTCAAGAATGTTCACGAGTTTAAAAAAATGTGCTTGTGACATATTCGGAAAGAAGTGTATGCAACGTAAAAAAAGTTTGCGTGATGTAAAAAAAATGTGTCATGCCCTTATAAGAATATACGTGACATGTATTTGAAAAAAGTGTATACAATTTTAAAAATGTTTAGCAATGTAGAAAATGTTCGTGTAGTTTAATAAAATGTTTATTGTTGTTAAGAAATGAAAAACATGTATTTGGAAAAATATTACCATGTATTCGATTTTTTAAAACATGCATTTAGAAAATGTAAATAATTTATCTAAAATATGTTGAAAGTGTATAAAAAATATTTGCGCTAAAAATTTACATTGGGTACTGAGAATAATTAGAAATGAGTATAAAAACAAAACCGGTTACCGGTAAAGAAACAAAACAAAAGAAAAAAAGAAAACAATATGAAGAAAATCAAGAAAGAAACAAAACAAACAAAAAGTATTACAAAGAAAGAAAAATCAGTGAAAAACAAAATATAACGAAGGAAAAAACCAAAGAAAAGAAATCAAACAAAGAAAACCAGACCAGCGTGAGAGACTGCGCCAATGGGCCGGCCCAATTCAGCGTATACCTGCTAAATCCTCCCAAGGTTCAAAGTAGACCGGGATCAGAAAGTTTGATGTGCTGATTTCAGGGATTGAAAGTTCAGGGTTTGATTTAGATTTCGCCTATAAATTCAAGGTTTGTTTCAGACTTTTTCCTTCCAAAAATCGGCACAGTACCGTTTTCTCCTTATATAGTTGACTCAGCTATGTTGTGTTGGGTTAGATTTTCATTGCGACCATGTGCCTATCTCTTTGGGAAACGTTTTACGTCGGTGTACCGGCTGAAGCTAGCGCCGGTCTGACGTGGGACGTTGGATCGATCTGGATTAAAACGGGTAGAGCCATATCACGCGCTTTATGGCCCCACCCACGACACCTTATCTTCTCAGCCTCTCTCCTCCACTCGTTTCCCCCGCACTTGAACGCAATCCCCTCATCCTCTCTTCTTTCCCAACGAGAGCACATGTCCATGGCTACTCCTGCTAGCCTCCAACCTCATGCTGCCATGAGGGCATTCCCAAGCTTGTCCCCCTCTCCTTCCTTTTTCTACCTCGGAAACGGGACATTTGCTGCATAGTCGCTTCGGCATGCTCCGATGGGGGCTCCATGGCATGCTACGACCGGGCTCCGCGGCATGTTGAAACCGACGGCAAAAAATGCTGGAACTGGCAACTCCCGCTGTTGGAAACGGCAACAAAAAATGCTACATCACGAAAGTTGGGGCGGCCGCTGTGCAATACTGAAAGCTGGAACTTACGATCTATAATGTTACAATCCGTGTTGCCCAAAGCTTCAATCGAAGACGACAAGATCGATCGCCGATCACCGTGCAACCGCAGAAGCTGCAACCGGTCATGAAAAAAGTTTCAACCGGTTAGAAAAAAGCTTCGGCCGGCGATACAAAAAGCTTCAACAAGCGAGTGCAAAACGGAAAAAGCTGCAATCATTGACACAAAAGCTTCAACTATATATTTGAAAAGCTTCGACTAGAGGGACGAGCCATTGATGCACATGGCGTTTTTTCTGTGCATCAATGGAGCTGCGACGGATGCTGGAACCGACGCGCAGCCATTGCTGGAACGGGTGGCACCATTTTTTTTGCTGCGTACGGAAGTCGATTTTGCTGCATAGAAGGGGTGGACCAGTGGGCGCCGGTGTCGCAACCGGCGAACCGCGACAACGCGGCGAGCCGCCGGTGCTTCGAGGTCGCGCGTCCATGGAGAGGTGCTACGTCCGCTTATCGGCGGGAGCTGCAACCGGCACGGCAATGCCTCAACAACGGAACTCGACGAATAAGGCTATGGTGTTGCCCTCGCAGCCATGGCGGCACCCTCGCGTAGGAGCTCAACGACCCCATGGCCACGGCGACGGGAAGCGATGCTACTACGGGGGTGTTGGACGGCGTCGCGGGGTGAGATGGGGGCGGCGCACGCGCGAGAAGAATGGAGGTCCGTGCTAAGCGGAGCGTTGATTAGTTTTGTTAGAGGAACGATGTGTTGCATCCGTTTTAAGTGGTGGGATCCAACGAACTGCATGGCTATAATCGCACGGTGCGCATGCGACCGGCCGAATTTTCGGCCTGCCTGCCGGCGCCTAATACTGGCCTATCTCTTTTTGCCTACTTTTGAGTTCTTTTACCACTGGACAGTGGACCCGAAGATTCATAATTATTATGGATCGGAGAAAGGGAGTAGTACTTGTCTACACCAAAATACAGAGACACAGAGGTAGTAACTTTTTAATCTCCATGAGCTACGTACATTGCACATGGTATCCAATTTTCTTTTCACGTCATATGAACCACACGCAGGTTACAAGCATGAATCAAACGAGCAGTGCGTCCGTGGAGATGAAGCTGTAGATGGCCATGTCCCTGACGGCGCCCTTGACCACGCAGTACCTCCGCAGCACGGCCTCCCGCCGGAACCCGGCCTTCTCCAGCACGCGCTGCGACGCGACGTTGCACACGTCCACCAGCGCCTCCAGGCGCTCCAGGCCCTCTACCTCCCCGAACACCGCGGCGACCGCCCGCCTCACGGCGGCCGTGGCCACGCCCTTGCCCCAGTGCGCGCGCGCCAGCACGTACCCGAGCTCGGCGCGGCACGCGTCCGCCGTCGGCGACACGGACACCGAGCCGACGGGGCGGTCGCCGCCGGGGAGGCATACGGCGCGGAACCAGGGGTGCGGCAGCGCGACGTCCCGGAGGAACGCGAGCAGAGCTTCGCGGGACGTGTAGGGGTCCCACGTCATGAAGGCCGTGACCTCCGGATCCGACACCCACGCCATCATGGCGTCGACATCGGCGAGGTCGAACGGCCGGAGGGTCACCTCTTGCGCGCCTTCCGTCGTCTTGGCGGGCGCTTCCTGCTCCATTCCCCAGCCTATCTTGTTTGGACTTTTGGACACGGTGACTTGAGAAGTTGGATGTACGGAGTAGTTAGTGGTCGAACTAATCTATACTCTGCGAACTGGTCGGCGGAGTCTCCAAGGCTCCAAGAGCACGGCCAATTTGGGTGTTGTGATGTGTACCGGCATGACACGAGCTGTCGTCGTCGCCGTCAGTATATTGGAATTTAGATAGAGAAATATTGATCGAGCACGCAACAACCAGCGTGAGGAAAAAAACTTTACAAATTCATCTTCTTTTTTTTCTTTTTTTTGAGGGGACAAATTCATCTTCTTGATGAGATGAGTTCCTCACCTTTAGGATCTTGCTTTCTCCTTGTGTGATTATGATACCCCACGGACCACTGGAGTGGAATATGGTTTTAATTGAGAGATTGGTTGATTTAAGCTTGATTCCAAAAGGATGTTATGCTGGTGTTTGTTGTTGGTTGAGTTATTGAGTTTGCGAGTTTATCCTCTAATACGTGTATGTCGAGAATCCAGCCCAATAGCCCATAGTATGTAGTAATATTGGTATCAAACTCGGGCGGCAAAACATGTATGACAATGACAATACCTTTAGCAATGTATGTTTTTTTTAGCAAAAGAGGAGCCCTCTCCCTACGATTTCATATAAACAAATCAACTGGTGTTTTACAAGCAACTGCGCTACAACTACTCCCTCCGTTCCAAAATAGATGACTCAACTTTATACTAATTTTAGTACAATGTTGGGCCATTTATTTCGGAACGAATGGAGTACTAAGTACTACTCCCTCTGCCTTATTAAAAAAAAGTACTACTCCCTCTGTCCCAGGGAGTATATGTTTATCAAGCAATAATTTCGTCCAGAAAAACACATTTCACATTCCAATTACCAATAGTCCAATACAAGCAGTCAAGCACTACAGAAGCACCAACACAGATTTTTTTTTTAATTTTTGTTTTTAGAAAAGGAGCACCAACATAGATTATTAATTTTTTTTTAGAAAAGGAGCACCAACATAGATGTTCCATCCAGTTATGTACATGGTATATACATGTTCTTCAGCAGGCAGCCAAGCCGAGGCACAGCCAAGTTTGAAGGCATATTCACTTTGCAGAGTATATTCTGCAAAAGGTTCCGCGAGTTCATATATGATATGAGAATTGTGAGGTCAAGGAGTAGGGGATCCGGGTTAGAGCAGCAGGTTGCGGCTGGAGCTTGTGGATGTCCCTCACGATGTCGAACACCGCTTCGGGCTGCGCTAGCTTCAGCGCATTGCGGGAGTACCTCCTGAGCTCGTCAGTTTCTGTGGTAAACCACCGGGCAACTTGTCTCGCAGCCTCCCTTGGGTCCTTGCAGAACACACCGGCGCCGTTATCGACCACGTAAGGCACATTCCCTACTTCCTGGATGATAAAAGATTACGCCTAAATGTTAGCTAGAGACATACTTGATAAGATCTCGGTGGAAGTAACCACTAGTGAATGACAATGGCAACAAACAGTCACTCTCAGATGGCCTACCCAATAATGGAAATGTAATCAGCACTCGTAGTTAGTTGAGCTAGTTTAGTTACCCCGCAAAATTTATAGATCGACTAAATCTTTTCAGAAAAGATAAATCCCAAATGTTCGGATTTTGCACATGGCAAATCGAACGTTTTTTATGCAACTTTAGTTAATGTGAGGATGGCAAGTTTAGTTGGCACGCATGGCCTACCCAATAATGGAAATATATTCAACACTCAAAAGGGAAGAAAAAAAAGTTGAGCTAGCCTAATTTGTTTGGACCGACTAAATCATTTTGATAGGGTCGTATAATCGTATATAAATTCAAAAATTACTGTACTGGCACAAGCATAGACCTGTCCGGGGATGAAGTCGTTGAGAATAATTGGAAGTCCTCTTATCAAGGCTTCTGCAATTGTACCAGGGCCAGCCTGCAAGTGCCCCAGAAATGCATCAGTCAGATCAGATTCCAGTTCCAGTAATGAAGAGTCATAAGGCATAACATATACCTTAGTGATGATGCAGTCGCAAGAGCCCATCCACTTCTCCATCTGCTTCTCGAACCCCATAACCTGAAGACAAAACGCTCGAAAAGTTCAGTCAGCACCAACCAAACAGTCGCTTGCAGCAGAGGGAGGCATCCACCTGAAATGCGCATCTTAGATTCGGCATCTGCAATGGTACCTTGACAGGGACCTTCCATGTCAGAGACTGCAAGGTGGACCGCAGCGCCTGATTCCTGCCGCATACGACCACGACCTGCCCGGCCGGCCGGCGTCTCCGGTGATCGTAGAGCTCGTGGCCGAGGGCCTTGGCTGTCTCCTCCACCGGGCCCATCCCCTCGCCGCCTCCCATCAGCAGAACAGCGGGTAGTTCAGGGTGCAGGCCAAGTTCTTTCCTCAGCTCATCCTGTCAACCAACCAAGCAGAGCTCAAGAGCTGATTGGACCCGGCAATGGCAGAAGAATGCGAAGCTCGAAGACATGCCCACCTTGTCGAGCACGGCGCGGCAGAAGGATGGTCTGATCGGCAGCCCGTACACGCGGATTTGGGACGGGTCGAGCCCGCGGGTCAGGGCCCTCTTCGCCACCTCGGCCGACGGGCAGTAGCACCTTGTCACGCCGTGGTGGAACCTGCCAAGTTCATGGTTTCAGATGCTCCTCCTGAATCCTGATCAGTTAAGAAAATCCCCAGTTTGCACCATGCCGGTTGCTTACCATGTCGGGTGGCAGGTGTTGAGGTCGGTGATGACGGTGAAGAACGGGACCTTGGGCTGCAGGCTCTGCCACTTGAGCACCCACAGCGGGATGTGCTGCATCAGAGGGTGCACGCTGATGATCACGTCCGGCTTGTACTTCATCATCCCGGCCACCACCTCACTGAAACAAAATAACAAATCAGAACAACAACACACACAATCCGGTCGTGCATTGTCGCTGTCAAATCGACGGCAGGCCATGCAATCGAGTTCGTACTTGGCGTAGAGGTAGGCGAGGGCGGTGAGGTACATTCCGTGAACCCAGCGCGGGGAGGTGCCGTGGAAGGCCACCTTCCAGAGCCGGACATGGCGGATCATGAACTTGTACGACCGCTCCATGTCGTTCAGCGGCCAGCCGCCGTACTCTTTCCCCAAATCTCTGACGAACACCTGCGCTGACCAACCAGCAGCAAACCAAATTTAATTTAACAAAATGACATTTTGGAGGGCGAAACTAAAGCTGTAACTTGCGAGAGCAGAGCGAAACTGAAGGATTAGGACCTGGTAGGCGTCGCCGAAATCGAGGCGGAAGGCGTCCCGGAGAGCCTCGGCGGAGGCGCGGTGGCCGCCGCCGGTGTCGCTCATGAGGATGAGCACGTTCCTCGCCGCCTTCCCTCCGACGCTGCCGTCAGTGGCGGGCGTGCGGGAGAGGGATACGCTCCCAGTGGCCTCGGCGAGCGCGGCGGCGAGGCCTTGACCGGGAATCCCGTCGTAGAAGGCGCATCGAAGGGGCTTGTGTAGCTGGCGGCCCCCGCCGAGCATTGCGTCGCGTATGGTGCGCCGGTGGCTGGGGACCGAGATCACCATGGCACCGCTCCTTGGGTTCTATGAGCTCGTCTCAGACTGCGAGCCTGCCCTTCGCCGTCGGCCTGAATCCTTGACGCCGGCGGGGAAGAGCGCTTTATTAGAGCTCTGCTGTGGGTTTATTGCACTCCGCCCCCTGATGTAAGCCATATTTACTTACTCTCTGCAGGAATCTACCGCGTAATATTCCTTTTCGGGAGCTGTTTTAGACGAGTATAATAATTCATCATGGAAATTAACAGAAACACCACATGCATATACGCCCGCACAGATTTTGGCATGTGTTTCAAGAAGGAAAATAAGTAGTACTAAATCAGATGATACATTTTCATTTCGGAGGAATATAGGTTGAACAAGTATCATCCAGTTAATATGTATAGTACTAAACGTGGTGAGTTATCTAAAAAAAAAAACTTTATATGCTAGTGAGAGTGATGACTTGTCCGTAAATACGCTAATGTGTAGGAGTGCACGTAAAAAGGCTGAGTTTGGCTGGTGACTTGAAGGCAAAGTAGATGGGAGGGGGGAACGGAACGGCTGGATGATTGCTTGGAGCAGCGTGCTGAGCGGGAGGCGAGAGGATGATTCTGCGAGAGATGCTGGAATTATGCCGTGCCGCCTCTTGTTCAGTGATCTCTTTAAGTCGTCTCCCAACTTGTCAGGCAATTACGGTTCTACTGACAAGTAAGTATTTTCTAATCCACAGAGTGTAATTTTATAGGACACGGACAGATTTTTAGGAATGACAAATCGAATGATTTTCATGGTAAATCATGTCCGCCGAATGACTAGTTTAATTGACGAGTATGGCAAATCCATATCAGTTCATATTTTTTACCAGAGAATTGCCGTGCTTGCAAACTAAAATTATCATCACCGAGGCAATATAAACTGTTGTAGAAAACGTTAAATTTGCCATGCCTATTTTTGATGTTATATTCTAAGCTAGAGTGTATAATGGTTACACTACAAAAAAATACACTTCCATGATGATACGTGTTTGTTACAGTAGGTTGCGTTTTTTGTCATGCATGTACATTTATAATGATTTTATGACAGAATCAAGATAGTTATACCTGTGCTGTCGTAGAAGTGTTCCATGACATTATTACAATTATCATCACGAAAGTGTCCACTTCCATGACGATAAATCGCGCGTCACAGAAGTGCTTTCGTGAAGGGTGACCGACACGTGGCATCCACCGTAACGGAACGTCGTTAAGCTATTGGATCGGGTTTTGAATCCGATAACCCGTTAACAGCCCCGACCAATGGGGATTTTTCACGTGTAAAATCATTATTGGCTGGAGGAAACACGTGTCGGCTTATCGTTGGGACAGATGTCACCCACTTATTAGACAGAAGGCGCCTATGATACATCGACACGTGGCATGGCCCAACAAAGGCCCATTCATGTGAAAAGGTCGGCCCGTTTCACTTGGTCAAAAGGTGACGGGCCGGCCCATGGAAATCCTGTTAACGGCATGTTCGCATATAGCCCATTTACAACCCGCTAACACAAGGCCCGTTACGCCCTATCCGAATTAGGCCCAGTAGCGTCATCTGGGCCATCCAATATGATTCCAGCCCGTTTTCACTTCTGGCCCATGTATGGCCCATGACGTCTTTCGGCCCATATGAGGCCCTTTGTAACTCTTGGCCCATTAACGCCCCGTGGTGAAACTCGCCCGTAATGAACAGTGTATCACTTTACACCCATTAACGGCCCGTGGCCAAACTGGCCCGTAATGAACAGTGTATCACTTTATACCCATTAACGGCCCGTTATTTCATTGGGCCGTTTCCAGCCCAAGTTATCTTTTGGCCTTCTCACGGCCCATTGATTCTTGGGCTCATTTGCAGCATTCGGTTACATACGACCTGTTATTGTCATTTTCTGCTTGTGGGCCAAATTCAGCCTGTCGTTACAATCGGCCCGTTTTGTGGACCGTTAATACGTTGGGCCGTTTTCATGTAAAAAAAACTCGTTGGGCTGTTTTCATAGAGTTATCAAATATGGCCTATTAACGGCCCGTTATGGTCCACGAATAGTATGGCACATGATTGGCAAAATAATGATACGCCCCGTAGAAGGCCCATGGATCCCATGGCCCGTATGAGGCCCATGGATCGTACGGCCCGTAGAAGGCTCATGGACCCTACGGCCCGTAGAAGGCCCATGGACCCTACGGCCCGTAGAAGGCTCATGGATCGTACGGCCCGTAGAAGGCCCATGGACCATACGACCCGTAGAAGGCCCATGGATCCTAAGGCCCGTATAGAAGGCCGATGGATCCTATGGCCCGTATAGAAGGCCAATGGATCCTACGGCCGGAAGAAGGCCCATGAATCATACGACCCGCAGGAGGCCATGGTTACAACAGTCCATGCGTTGCCATGATTATTTTGGCCTAGTTACCAAAAATAGGCTATTGTGGCCACTAGAAAAACATAGAAAAAGAACTGCAGTGACTACAAGCAAACAACTAAACAAGACAATAAGGAAATAAATAAGCAAGCAATTAACGCTAGCCTATTATCGCTATTACACATATTACATCCACTGGGCATCAAAGTATGCCACCAGTGCAAATATAGCGAACAAAGCAGCATATTACATACACTAGCCGTCAAAATTGGCCACCAGTGCAAATAAATGCGGCAGCAAAACAAGAGCATAACTGAAACAACTTCAGAAGAGCTCAAGAAACATTATCTTGGGTATCCACCATGCTGGCAATAAGCTTAGCAAGCTTATTAGCTTTGTCCTGTTTAGCGCTAAAATTATCCAACGCTTGCTGTTGCACCAGAAAGTATGCATCTGAATGCTCCAGGGACTTCCATAGTCCTTTCGCTTCTTGTCGCAGCACAGCTAATCGATGTCTTTCAGCTTGTAGTTGAGACTCAAGAAACCGAACTGATTCAGACAGTGAGTTTGAATAGCTTGTGCAAGCGGTAGTGGCCAGTAACTCGAACAGTAAACAAAGACAGGACTTTGAGATTGTCTCGCTGTCTTCAAGATAGTCTTCCTTAGCTGTTTTATCAGCTTTGTTGGATACCAACAAGGATGTGTCACTATCCTGAATCTTATCTGCATTACTTCATTTATCATTGCTTAATAAGGCACTCTTCCCCAATATTCTGTCAGCATTCTAAAAGAAGAAACAAGCAGGCACATAACAAGTTTAGCATGTACTAGTATATGAAACTCATTTTGGTGAACCAGTTCATTAGTAAGATGAACAGGATTAAACTACCAAGTCTTCTATTGCCAAGTACTAGTACATAATAAAAGCATCAAACAAACATATATCTATGTCCTATGGTCACTGCATTGTCTTGCCAAATCAAAATAGAGATACGGTTCAAATCATATCAGTTCAAGACAAAGTAGCAGCAAAAGAACATAAAGCGTGGGAAACTACACGGCACAACAAGATTTCAGATGGGTACCACGGGTCTACATGTACAACAACACTATTGGCTCTGTTGTGATGCTAGTAGTGTGCATGATATGCAAGTCAACTGTATACACAATTGAAATTGAAATCAGTAGAGCTATTGATAAGAGCAAACCTGTTAAAGAAACATGCGTGAACATACCTGCTGTGCCATTGGAGTTTCGATTGGATACTTCAATTTAAAAATAAGTTTGTATGAGTAAATACAATGATACAAGAGCAAAGCAATCATAGTTAAAAAAGGCGTGCCTAAGGGAGCGCTTAAGCGTGCCTAGGCTCTAGGCGTTGGCAAAACGCATTGCGCATAAGTACGCTTAATCTATGCATAACTGCGCATAAGCATGCACTTTAGTCAGTAAAGCGCAATGCGGTGGAAAAAACGCACAATTAACGCCCAGGGCTTTTTTGAACTATGATAGCAATGGAATCTTAAATTAGAACAGTTGTTCTTTAGGTTTAGGCACTTGTTCTACATGAACAGAGTATAGTAAGATGCAAGAATATAATACTTCAAAATAAAAAATAAGCTCATATACCTTACCACATTCTTGGTTCGGGACCAGTACAGAACAAGGCGTTCCCAGTCATCATTCAGTAATTGTGTCTCAGGAGAACGTAAGGGAATTTGATGAGTTTCTTTGCCGGTGAAGTACGTTTTCTTCAGGTAATTTCGATACTGCCACCAAGCATTCTTGAAGATAGCAGAGGTATTAGCACAAGTTACCTCATCCCAAGTTTCCAAATCGGTCCTTCTCTATAGAGAAAAATGGGAAATTTTGCTGTATTATAACCATCATGGAGGTAGGATGTATGGGACAAAGCAAAGTAATTACCATGAATAACATTACTTACACATAACTCCTGGACAAACACCTGCAACTGGCATTTTCCTTCATCTTTAGTATAATATTTCCAAGATGGGAAGATGTGCACATATGATTTAACAACTTCAAATGTGATGGATGCTAAACTACGACTAGCTGGTTGTGCTTCCTCCACGGGAATAGGCATACTAACTGGTGGAGTTGGGGTTCGCCGTGATAGTACTGTCCCTTTGGGCACTATAGCTGCCTTACTAACTGCTCTTGTTTGGAAGCTCTGTGGTGGAGATGGTGCTGTGTCAACAGGAACTCGGTTAATATCGGCTGAGGTTGGGGTTAGATTGGGTGAATCTGGTTCTCTGTCCATCGCAGTAGGGGTACAATCTGCGAGAGTTTGGGTTATGTGTGGTAGGGCTGGTTCTTGTGCATGTACAACCGGGGTGCTATCTCCACCAAGAGGTAGCACTGTTTTATTTGAAGACCGTGTTTTTAGTCCACTAGATACTGGCATCACCCGCTCCAATTCAAATGGGTGATAAACAGGAAACATAGTTGAATGTACATACATTGTATGAGAGACAGATGCAATAAATAGTGTGGAAAAAATAGGGCATGAAATAGTTGACATGCATATTGTTTAACTAAAACGGATAGCATGACATAATTTCACATATATGATGTTTATCTAAACTGGATAGCATAGCATAACATAATTCAAAGA